AAAAAAAAAAAAGAAAAAAAATTTATTGTTTCTAGAGATGAGGTCTTGTTAATGCCCAAATTAGTCTCCAACTATCCTCCTGCCTCAGCTTCCCAAAGCATAACTATGAATTTTCACAAAAATATCTAGTTCACATTGATAAGCTACCTGAGGTATAAACCAAATACTCCCCCCAGTGCATTCTATGGTCTAAACTTGATACAAAATTTGTTTTCATTTTCAACATTTCTTGTCAAGGAATCCTTGTGAGGTAACAGAAGAAATTCTGACAAATGAAAATAACAAGACTTGCTGAAGTTCTCAAGCTTTCTTCTTTTCTTTTACTATTAGGCTCTTGATAAATTAATGTATACTGAGGAATGAGTCTGAAGTGATATCCTGTTTGGGAACAGATTCAGAAAACTGAAGGTATTAACTATCCAGCTCTAAAGTTCTGTGATTCTGCATTAGGAACAAACAGGAAAATGAAGAGGAAAATTCCCCAAGAGTATCTCTGGCCCACACAGTGGCTGACCAGCAAGACAGGCTCAGAGACACATGAAAACCAGCTTGAGATAATATCAAACCCATTCCACATTCTCCTTCTGCAACAATGACACACATCTACTGAATTAGTTTTCTTTTTTGGAATGGCTATATCCATGGATCATCACCCTAAAAACCCCTAAAACTGTGAGTTTGACCAAGGGACTAAAAGCATACTTCCTGCTTTTCTTAGTGTTCCTATGTTAGAAAGTCATTATTTTATCTTTGGCTCAATGAGCAGTATTTCACTCACAATTATGGACAATAGTTAACTAGTTTCCTGTGTTTACAGAAATAGAAATGAAGTATCTATGCATGCCTGGGCTTTTGAGGAGACGAGTATAATCCTACATTCCAAGAGACAAAAAGCTTGTCCAAAGTTTCAACATATTTTACAGCTTTCTGTGTTTATACTTCAGTTATGGAGCAAAGTGAAGTCTTCCAGGTTCCATGAGGCTGGGGAATAGTGGGGCCTAAGTCAAGTTACTGAGTAATTTATCTTGATGTCATCACTCGCTGCAAAGCCGTGGACAGCTTTCAAGGCTCTTCAATGACAGAACTCAATTCAAAATGAAATACTTTCAAGAAATGCCTTATTTCTCTATAAATATAGATGAATAATATCAAATTCAGAAAGGTAACTGGTAACTCTAAGATAACTGGATTTGATTAGGAGTAGGGTAGAGAAGTTTCAGGTAACTGTTAACATGAATGTTTTTCCAGTTAATCTGCTTTAAAATCACTAATCAATTTTGGGCTGAAAAATACAAAAATGAGGATCAAATTATTTCAACCTTTCTCATCGCAGCTGATTGCCAACATTCCCAGTGCTGTTAGCAAATTGTACATTATTTAAATAAACTGACTTTTCAAAAAAGTTTTAAGATATAATGGATTTGTGGTATTGCGAAAATCTCTTTCGCCTCAAAATCTGGTAAGTTGGCTCGGTGCCTATAGCTCAACCAGCTAAGGCGCCAGCCACGTACACCTAAGGTGGCGGGTTCCAATCCCCAGCCCGGACCC